ATTTATCATGAAGCTTGTAAAATCTTATGTTGCCAAGAAAGTTTTTGTTATTTTAATAGTAAAACATAACAATGGTGTTCACAGTTTTTAAAAATGTTTAGTCCTAAAATGCATATTTAATTCAAATCTACACAAGTCAATACATGCAAAAGAGAATCAGATATAAAATTGCTTAGATAATGTCACTATAAAAGACTAAGGGATCTACTTAAATTGGACTGGAAAAGAAAACTGGAAAGATTAAATTTAAATAAATGTAGTGTTATTATCTTATTTCATCTTTTTTGATTTCTCAAGAATAAGACTTTTTGATTTTGGACTTCACTGTTCCATTTCTATATCCACACCATAGAAAAATCAGTATTTTCTAACATGTTTGGGAAGTGATTAACCAAGTTTTGATTATAATCAATATTCTTAGTTACCTCTATAATATACAAAGATTACAGATAAACAAATAGCGGTACAGCACACAGTCAGGAAGTATAACTTCATTTGGATACAAAAGTGGCTGACTTTAAACCTCAGTTGAGAACAGTGGTCACATTGAGAAAGAAGGACACTTTATTTTTTACAAAATTAACTTTATGCTTTGAAGCTGACTTCAAGAGTGTGCTCTGCCTTTGGATATACATAAGACCTTAAATCACAAATGGAGTTTGTTGGTTTTTTTTCATCTGAGCCATCCTGCCACCTGTTGGCAACATTTTTATTCTTATATTTTCTTAATAGAGTAAACTTATGAGTTTTGTTTCAATTTAAATTGGAGATAAAGTAAATACATGATTTTGTGTATCTGATGAAATGAAAAAATATGATATGGTTTCAGAATTATTTACCTACCATATAATATCAGAATATTTTTATTCCCACTTAGTCCTTTAATAGTATTACTTCACTTCCTTTTGGCATCCAAAATCACTATTGAGAAAATTGTTGCTGTTCTTATAGTATTCCATCTGCCATTTTTAGATCTTCCTTTTGTCTTGATGTTTGTTTGTGTCATGTTAATATATTTAGGTATTAACTTTTTTTTTCCATTTGAGTTTCATTGTTCTTTCTAAATCTGAAAGTTTACTATATTTTATTTTACAAATTGTATAATAAAGTGTAATATGCTATACAATTTGTAAAACTTTAAAGCTCTCCAAACTGATTACATTCATTTACATTTGCAAATAAAAATGGCAGATGTTATATCTTTACACTGAGAGATGCTACAAAATGTGCTAATCTACACAGGTTCTTCCTTATACAAGACACACTGCATTGTATTTAGAGTTTTGACACATGAAGCTTTCTCCTGAAGGCACAGATAGGTGCAGGGCATTATTACCAAAGAGGGTCAAGGTTTTAGTTTGGAGAACCACATGTTAACGACAGGTGCACTTAGTGCTGTCATATCTTCATATTCTTTATAAGTGCATCAGGCTCAAGGTCAACACACTCAAAGGGTTATATTTGGCAGGGACACATGATGATCTTGGCACCGAGGAGTCCAGTTTCTTCTCTCAGATGATATTCTGCACCACGGTGTGAACTGGAGAACTGTTCCAACGCCCAACTACCCTTGGACAGTCCCTTTTACAGCGATAGCATATATATAGATAGATAGATAGATAGATAGATAGATAGATAGATAGATAGATAGATGTAATATGTATAATACAATAGCATATACATATATATATAAAAGCATGATATACATATACCATATTTCCCCATGTATAAGACACTCCCATGTATAAGATGCACCTTAATTTTGGGGCCCAAAATTTGAAAAAAATGTATTACACAAAGTTATTAAACTTAAGTTTTATTCATCCTAAAATTAGCACAACTCCTCATCACTTGCAGGAAATGCAAGTAAAACCACCTACAACCACTGTATAAGACACACCCAGTTTTTGACCTCAAATTTTTCAAAAACGGGTGCGTCGATAGGAAGCTCTTACTCATTATACTCATTTTGTTCTAAATATTAACTTTCCCTTTTTCTTGCTATGTTCTCTCTCTGGAATATCCTTCTGAAATTTATTCTTTGTAGTGCTAATAGAAAAATTAAGTCTGATATATTTGAATATATTTGGTTCTCATGATTAGTTTTAGATGTTCTATAAAATCACCATAAATACTGAATTTCTGAATACTAAACCATTTAGGGGAAATATACAGTTAGGTTCCTATGAGCTTCTAGTCACAATATTTTTATCAACTGATGAATACATAACCTTGTTTCCTGTGAATTTCTGTTCAAAGATACTTTATTTAATACCTATTGTTTGATAATTAACACTGAATTTATGTCCAAAGAGCACTGCAACTCATCCTTGAATAAAGTTTTACCATTAGGCATATCATGACTTTCTTGCACAAGCATTTCAACACTATGCTTGGGGGCCATTTTAAATAGCAAAGTTGCCAGCAAAAGCAAAAAGATGCAAAAAATGTGGCACTAAATAGACCATGAAAAGAACACTTGTTTACAGTATGAAAGCTGAAACAAGAAAGGAAAGCATCTCCTCAGCTGGGAACACGCATGTTAAGCAACAAATTTTTCACCATTCTGTGAATGACCACAAAAGCACCATGAGTATTGATTTTGTGGTTCTAAATAAATTTAAGAGAATAGGTGAATTTTTCAAACACAGAACCAGCAAACAATGAGAATGAACTCTAATTGATTTCTCTACAGCAATAAAGAATTACACTAATAGCAGGTACATGCAAACACAATAATCTCACAATTACAATATAGAGCCAAAGTAGCCAGAAACAAATAGTGAATACAACATATTTTCATGTATTTAGTATTTAAAATCAGGCAATACTTATTAATGCTGACAGAAATCTATGTAATGATTACTTTTATGAGGTAATGACTATAGGCTGTAATGAAACATACTCTTATTATTTTAATAACAAGATCATAAGGAAAACCCATTAGGCCTGATGTCAGTTTCCAACCTAAAGAAGTATTAAATTTTTATCTGAAAAATTTCCACAACCATGATTATATCTCAATATGATTTTTAATATTGTATCTTTGTAAAATGTCTTTTACATTCTCCTAGTATTTCATAGTAATTATAGGCATTTTGAAAAGTAATATAATTTATGTGATTTTTACCATTGCATGAACTTTCATTATGAATATTTTTTCATTAATTTTAAATTTTACATCATTGTCTGGAGGTGAAAGTTATATGAATAGCAATTGATGTTTGCTTTTCTCACTTTTGAATATCTAGTAGGTAATACATATTCAGTCAGTGTAGGCTTTTAGTTTGAAAACTGAATTTAAAGACCAGCTTGATTAATCCTAAATCATGCTTCTAATTTTAACGTGTTGGCTATATAATCCCAAACAGAATCCTGTAATTTGTCACCCTATGGTGTAGCTGATATCAAAATAAAACCAACCTGGTCAAAAATCCAACAGTCTCAAAGACAGACACATAAGAGCTAAAATATACAGAGAAACATATTCTCACATTACATATTAGACCATTAAATTGAATATACATGGGAACTGGGTAACTAACCCTGGAGGCTTTAGAGTTTATTAGTAGAATAGTTATTCATCCTTTTACTCATGATTATGCTGTTCGTTCTCATATTAGAAAGTGAAATATTAGATTAATTATCCACTGTAATGTGTAACCTGAGAAATACCAGAGCTTTTTAATAGAAACACTTTTCATTCTTTTATTTGTAATACCAAATATATTTCATAACAGGCAATCAATAAATGTATACAGATGGGTGGATGAATAGATAGATGGATGTTTGCCTGAATTTCTGTGAAGCTGTTAAGATGAGAGACCCTAACTTCGAACTTCTTAGCACTTTTTGTGGTTCTAGTCAGGAATCAATGTTAGAGGGACTATCAGCTACTACAGCATTCAACTTCAATGAATACTGGAGCCAAATATCTCTGTAAATATAATAGGTTCCACTCTCAGAAAATTTTGATAGCAAACAGGTATAGAGCTTTTCTATATGCCAAGCTCTGCTGTACATACCTTATATACATTAATTGATATAGTCCTTAATGCAGCAGATTCTCAAATGAATTCAATTCATTCAACAGTGTTTCACTATAACATTGATGAGATGCCACAGGAAATTAAGTCTTGTTTATATCAATTAGTTTATTGTAAAATTGGTTTTATTCATTATACATTGTTTCACTTAAATTCACAGAACCTATCAATGATGTTCAGTGAGGACTTACATAACTTTATGAGATATGTACAGTTATTACTCCATTTAACAGATTATACACACCTCTGGGCTGAGAATCCATAGATCATCATATTCAACGGCCCATATACTGGAGCCCAACTGCCTAGATGCAAATCCTGTGCTGCCCCTTGGTTTTTGTGCATCTGAATTTAAACAAATTGCCCAAGTTGGACATTCTTGATAAGAGCAGGGAATGAAACATTGGGTGGCTCACACCAGAATGCTTTTTCATACCCAAGATCATGGCAATGTTTGTTAGAGGTTTTTTCTCTGTCATTGACCTATGTACACATTAGTATGTTTTACTACCATAATAAAAACACCAAATTACTGCTATCTAGGAAAGAGTACTATTGTCTCAGCCTTTGTTAAGAATCAGACTAGAAAGACACAATGCCGTTTCTGGAATGATAAATAGAAATACCTTAACTGGCATCTGACTGGGACTCACATTAGTCTTGAGAGAATAAGCAACTCTGAGGATGATTTTTATGAAACTAGTCATGTTAGTATTACGATGTGTTCATGGAATCTAATTTTTGAAATCAAAAGATAAATTATTTAATTCATTAGGCTAAAAGAATCAGAATAAAAGGAGAGTTTTCAGAAAATGTGTGTATTTTCCACTTATCCAAGTAGTGAAACAAATTATAAACGACAGTCAAATGGCAATGCAAAAGTTACCTGGTAAAGGTTATCAATTCAAATAAATATATTTTAAAATCACTTTCAAAAGTAGAAATCATTCATACCTGAACGACTTTTTGGGACTGTACATCAACAATTAGAACTCTGTCCAAAGTTGGCTGTGCAACATAAATGAACTTGTCTTTGACATTAACGGCTGAGGCCCACACACACCTCTGAACTTCATCTCCTCCAGCTTTGGGACAGACTTCATCCTATAATTTAGAAAATAGAAAATAAAATGAATGTCTTAAATTATAACATGAGGATGGTCATATTCTGGATAAATTTATTTGATGTTTTACTACTTTCAGCATCAAAAGTTAAATATAATTGATAAGAATAAATATAGAGGTAAATCAATGAAAATAATATATAGTACATATTTAAGCTCATTAAGTGTATACAGAAATTAATGGGAATGATAATTCTTTACATTTCTTGATATCAAGTCCATCACTTATTTTTAGTAAGACACAGTGCTTTCATTTGTCACTATCTGTTCACATCTCAGTAACTTCAGAAATACATAATAAATCCAATTTTTTCTCCGAAATCTCCCAGTCTCAAACTTCTTTACCAGACATTGAAAGTCACACTACAATATATTTAGAGCTTCTCAAAACATCAGTGGCTGCTGCCATGACATATCCATGGTCTTTTCAAAATCCACTGGAAATGATTAAAGGAGTCTTGTAATCTGTGGAAAATCAGAAGCTTAAGGAAAATTATAATAAGGGAGTTATTCAGAATTGGTTACTTAATTTTTCAATTTGGCATCAAGGTAAAATTTTACAAAATCTTTCAATCGACCCAAACCTATTTATTCTGCTCCTCTACCCTAGGAATGCCTTATCATTGATTATTGCTCAGTTTGTGCTTGATGACCATAAACAAGATAAAAAATACCTTTTATATCATCCTTTCCTGCACTTTGTCAATAAATGAATGTTGAAGAGATATGTAAGCCTTTGTGATTCATTCTGGCAGACACATCACAAGTAGAAGAAATGTCATTTAGTTCATTATTTTTGTTTCAGATTTTGCTTTCATTCACTGATCTAATGATTTCATAATTTTCTTAATTTACTTATAGTTAGAAAAACCACTAAGAAGAGGAATGGGTTTAACTGTGCATAAAATATATGTGTAATGATAAATACTTATTTATATGATGATATAATGATAAATATTGATTTATGTTTCACTTTTTAATGATATAGATATGATATTGATTACTGATGTCTAATCTATTTTTAAAATTATTTATTTCTCTTTTTTTAGTTACCATTGACATTCAATACTATTTTGTATTAACTTCAGGTGTATAGCATAGTGGTTAGACATTTATATATTTTATGCAGTGATCCCCCCAATTAGTCTAGTATCTGCCTGGCACTATACATAGTTGTTTCAACATTATTGACTATATTTTCTATTCTGTACCTTAGATTCCCATGAGAATTTTGTAACTACCAATTTGTATTTCTTAATCCCGTCACCTTTTTCACACAGCTCCCTAATTCCTCTCCTTTCTGGCAAACATCAGTTTGGTATCTGTATCTATGAGTCTGTTTCCATTTAATTTGCTTGTTTTGCTGCTGTTGTTGTTCTTTAGATTCTACATATAAGTGAGATCATGTGGTATTTGTCTTTCTCAGTCTGATTTATTTCACTTAGCATAATACCCTCTACATAGGTTCATCTATGTTGTTGCAAATGGTAAGATTTTATTCCTTTTTATGGCTGAGTAATAGTCCATTGGATATATCCAATAAGGGTTCAATATCCAAAATGTATAAAGAATTCATACAACTCAACACCAAAAAAAAAAAAGTCCATTTAAAAAATGGGCAGAGGAACTAAATAGATATTTCTCCAAAGAGGGCATACAGATGGCCAACAAACATATGAAAAGATGCTCAATGTCACTAAGCATCAGAGAAATGCAAATTAAAACCACAATGAGATATCACCTCACACCTATCAGGTGGCTATCATCAATAAATCAACAACTAAGTGCTGGCAAGGTTGTGGAGATGGGGGAGGGAGCCCTTGTGCATTGTTGGTGGGACTGCAGGTTGGTGCAGCCACTATGGAAATCAGTATGGAGGTTCCTCAAACATCTAAAAATAGAACTACCTTATGACCATTGATTCTACTTCTGGGTATTTATCTGAAGAAATCCAACACACTAACATGAAAAGATATATGCACCCCTGTGTTCACTGCAATATTTACAATAGTCAAGATATGGAAGCAACCTGCCCATCAATAGACAACTGGATCAAGATGTGGTACATATATACAATATTTCAAATTTATTGATTTGTATACTCCAATTAGCAAGTCTTAAGCTAAAGTGAAACACTCTCTTCTCTAACTAAAAACATTATTTTTTCATCTGAGAGTCCAGTCGCCACTTGCATTTAATAATCATGAAACAAAATCAAGAAAGTTTTCACTATCAACACCACTAAGCATTTCTTTTAATTTAAAGATAAAACTGACAGCAGAAAAGCCACATTTGGCATTTAGTAATTAAAATAAATACCAAATAAATACCACAATAATGTAACCCTTCTCACACAGCACAACTGTAATAGGTATCATTTGCATAAAATTTGGAAAATAATGTAAAAACCAGAGCACTCTGGAATGAGAAGCTCAGTATGTGGTCTGCTGTTTTCATTGTCCAAACTTCAGGTCTGATTAATTGAGGACCTGGAGTGTCTACTGATTTTTAAGATCCAGTCCAGAAGTTGTCAGGTTCAGTTAAAACACCAGAAACATATAACACCAGTGTTGTCCTCTGAACAGCACAGGATGATCCAAGTTTCCAGGATATAAGCAAAAACACCTGAAAATTAAACATGTACTGCATGCTCTGGTAGCTTTGGAGGTGAAATGAACTCCATTTCCCAGAATGTACCATAATCATTCTAAGATGACTACCTGTGCAATCATCCTGACTAATGTCTGCTGCACCCTCCAGCAGGCAGCATAACCTGAAGGCAGGAATCTGTCCTCAGTACCTGCCCAGAAATAGAGGACAATATTGTACTTTCATTGATCAATTCACTGAAACATTATTTTCTATGTCTAACATTTTTCCTCAGAAGTATATTAAATATCTTTGACAAACAAGAACCTAATTTGTGAGAATCAAACACTACATAACATATGTACTTGAGATCCATGAAGAGGTGAGAACATAGTGAGACCTAAGGTTGACGAAGGGCTCAGCATAAAGGGAAATTGTTTACAAATTCTTTGCTGTTGTGTAAAAGGCACCAATAAAACCTGCTGAAATAACAGAAAGGGCAGTGACCTGACACATAACTGCCAACCAAACAATGGCTGAGCCAGGAGCAATTTCCACCCCTTTGTTTGTTAGGAAGTTATTCGACAGTTAAAAAAAAACAAAACACAAGAGGCTCTACTCGGAATTACTTTCTATTTGTATGCTGTCCCCATAAGATATCCTGACCAAGCTCACAATCATTTTTACAAAGCCATTAAAAGTTTCCTGAGAGTCAGCTTGAATTTTCTTTGCTTCACTTTATGCCATTATTTCTGATTATAGTCTATTAGGTCCCATTTTATAACAGCACTCTTGGTTTTCCAGATTACATAGATTAATATTTATTTCTGTGGATAAAAATTGTAGAGGAATGTTTTTCACATGCATTAGACATTTAATGAGATAGAAGCTAAAAAAATACCAGAGATGTAAAATAAGATTAAGATAATACATACTGATGAGGGACATTGTCAGGAATTATATCAGAGAGGATCATTAAATCACTTTTTATAGAATTGTATACTGCCATTTAAAGTGAAAGGAATTAATAAGATATTAGAAGTAATGAGGGTGGGAATCAGTAAGAAAAAGACAAGTCTAGTTCATAATTAGAACTTATCTATTTACCTTTGGGTTATTTCTATGTTAATTACACATTTTCTGTGTAGGTATTATCATCTTCCAAAACTTTAAAGGAATACAAGATATATTACTAGTGATGATGGAAGTTTTGATTTAGCTATTAAAAGAGTGTTGATGATACTTGATTTGTTAAATATCAAGTTAGACAGATGAATATATGCACTCATCTTCTATAAGACTTTGCCATTTTTATTCATTGTATTACTTACCTATTAAAAATATTTTGCCCTCAAATTTCCAAATTGCCATCTCTCCCCCCTACTCCTTCTCCTTCTTCTTCCTAGTCTCTTTTAGCACATCTTGCATCATTAATGGCAGGGACAAATGATATTTGTCACACGCACTTCTGCTTTCCTTGCATCCCACTCAACAAGTTTCTGTCATCATTCCCTCCTGTCATCCTCCTCTATAATCAAAGATGTGTCTACTGTTCTTTGCCATCAGAAAGGTCTGCCTTACAATTTAATTAATATCTTTAGTTATGTCTCAAATACTCAAAGATGTACACTCCCCTATAATTTAAGAAGCAAACAATGAAAAAACCTTAATTGGATTCATCTGTTTTCCCTTCCAATTAACTATCCTATTCTCCTCAGACTTTGAACAAGCTGTCTAGAGCTTCTCTTCCATGCCCGCACCTTTCACTGTAAACTGTTCATACTTCAAACTGACTTTCATGATCCTATAGCTTCCAAAAGAGATGTCTTCAAAAGTCACTGGTGGCCTCAGAATTTGCAATCATTAGTTTTCAGCTCTTGTTAGGAAACATTTATTGAGTGCTTGCTAGATGAAAGATATTGTGCAAAGCTATGGTTGGAAATAAAAGCATGAGTATGAGACAATACCTGTTCTCAAGTTGCTGATAATTTCTGCTGTATTTGGCTGTTTTTAGACACTTGATTCTTCTCAAAATGTTCTTTCATTCTTGTAAGACAAGGATCAGAAAACAAAAGCTCCAGGCCAATTCAGCCCATTGCCCATTTTGTTAAGTGGCCCAGGAACTAAAAATATTCTTTTTTTGCATTTTTATTGGTTGATAAAAAAGAAGAATACAATTTCATGGCATATAAATATTATATGGGATACAAATTTACATAAACAGAGGTTTATTGGAACACAGGTACACCATTTATTTAAAAATTGTCTATCATTTCTTTCATTACTGGCAGACAAAACCATATGAACTACAAAGCCTAAGATATTTAATATTTGTACCTTTGCAGAATAAAATGATACTGATCCCTGTTATAGGATATATTCCTACCCTAG